GTCTGAGGTAAGGCTCACAGCAGCCACCTTTTCAACTTTAGCCTTAGCCTTTTGTTTTGCAGACTCATATTTAGCCTCCACCATGGCCTTCAGAGCCTAAAGGACAAATTATTAAATGCTTAATTAATTTTTAGCAGTAAAGATATATGATTAAGTAGCCATTGGTTTCGTGCATACACCCATACATACCTGCCTTGTAGGAAGAACATATTTGGGATCCAGTTTAGACACAAATGCCCTGAATCCCACATCCTCCACAATACTGAAGGGCTGTATGTCCTTCACTACCATTGTCACAAGGGCTTCATCTAGCTCCTGTTTTCTGGTAGCTAGTTAAAAGAAAATAAATACAATGTTACTTGTCTTTATTTGCACACAAAACTTCATTACTCGACACACACTTTGAAGCCTCGGTACTTCGCGTAACATCACTAGTTTAAAGACTTACGTAGTCAACGTGTATTTAATACACCGTTCATTTATCTTGGACAGGAAGAAATAAAACAACTGTGTTGAAACTGAAGACGTTTTGTCGGCAGCTGCTCGAACTTTCAGTGTATTCCATAGTTTATTTCGCTACACACAGTCGCTGAGTAACGTTTCTCAATAATCTCCAGCTCTCCAATTTTTAAACACATGTTGTCTTTCTTTCACTTTGACACATAGTTTCCAGGAATAAGTAAAGGCAGCAGTAGCCTAGCTACACAACCAGGTCTACATATAGCGACCAATCAATGAGAAGAAGGATCTGCGTCCCACCAATCCGCTGACAGGGAAGGTGGTGCTTAAAAATCACAACGAATCAGGCTGCGACCACACTTCAGAATACGCGTACCCGCAGCAGCTGCTTGTTTTTGACTGAGCGCGCCACCGACATTGACACGTGCCAAAAACCAACAACCTGTAGCGCGAATGCGTAGTATTAGAGTTAGAATATAACAGCTTAATGTATTAATACACGTTAAGAAAACATTAAAGGAACAAATATAAAAGTTCAAGAATAGAATAGAATAGAATAGAAAGCCTTTATTGTCATTATACAAGGTACAACGAGATTTTAAAGCTTCCCTTAGGGTGCACGCAGTGGACAAAGTAAACATATTAAGGGAGAATATATACACATAAGATAAAAAATAAAATTAAAATATTAAGATAAAAAAAAAAAAATTACAGTGTATACGGACTGATGTGCAAGGTGTACGGGCTGATGTGCAAGGAAACAAGGTGGATAAAGTGGCTGGCAGCGAGGGATAGAGGTAGTATATGTAGGCTGGTATGACATGATAAAACGTGCAAATATGCAAACAGTGCAAAAACAGTGCAAATATGCAAGATGCTGACATGGTTGTGCAATATAATAGTGTAAATATGCTGACGTAGTAGTGCAAAATATGTAACATGCATCATGTTATTTATTTTGTTCTGAAGTTGAGTAAGGAGACAGCTCGAGGGAAAAAGCTGTTCCTGAGTCTATTGGTTCTGGCAGGTATGGCCCGGTAGCGCCTACCAGAGGGCAGCAGGTTGAAAAGGTGGGAGCCAGGGTGAGTATGGTCCATGGTGATATTTCTGGCTCTACTGAGGCAGCGGGAGTGGTAGATGGTGGATAGGGGAGGCAGAGGACAACCAGTGATCTTCTGCGCTGAGTTAATCACTCTCTGCAGTCTCTTTCTGTCCGCCTCTGTGCAGCTTGAGTGCCACACTGTCACAACACTGTCACACTGTCACAGCGAATGGCAGTTTTGAAAACAATGAACTAGTCAGGTTCGTGTCCAGTTGCTCCTTCCTGAGCACCCTTAGGAAGTGGAGTCGCTGCTGTGCCTTCTTGACCAGAGCGGTGGTGTTTGCTGACCAGGAGAGGTCGGCAGAGATGTGGACCCCGAGG